TATTTGCCTATAAAAAACTGTGAAGTAGCCTATTTATCTTTGTGAACGTTTCTAGAAAATTTCAAAATTTAATCGTTTTTCGCTGCACTAACTTGGCCATCATTTACCTAGTAGATCAGCAGCGTGCTTTGCTTCAGTAAAGTGTGATGTTGATTATTCACCGTTATTTTGAACGGAAAAATTTTCGATATTCCGCCAGTATATTTTCCCGCAGTGAACTGAATATCTGAACTCTAACCGCAAAATTGCTTAAATGAAATCGTGTTTTGCCGAAGTAACCAGCCTAGAAGTACATGAATGGCTTTAGACCATTTTGTACGGCAAAATTGTCAGAACGGCAGCATACTTTGCATAAGTAAAATATGCTGTTGTTTATTAATCGTTATGAAATCATTGTTGGACGGCAAAATTCCCCCGGTATATTTTACCGCAATGAACTGAATATCTGAACTGTAACGGCAAAATTTCTTTAATGTAATCGCGTTTCGCCGAAATAACCAGCCTAGAAATGACATGGATGGCGTTAGACCATTTTGCACGGCAAAATTGTCAGAACGGCAGCATACTTTGCGTAAGTAAAATATGCTGTTGTTTATTAATCGTTATGAAATCATTGTTGGACGGCAAAATTCCCCCGGTATATTTTATCGCAGTGAACTGAATATCTGAACTGTAACCGCAAAATTTCTTTAATGTAATCGCGTTTTGCCGAAGTAACCAGCCTAGAAGTACATGGATGGATTTAAACCATTTTGTACGGCAAAATTGTCAGAACGGCAGCATTCTTTGCGTAAGTAAAATGTGCTGTTGTTTATTAATCGTTATGAAATCATTGTTAGAGGCAAAATTTCCCTATTTTATATTTTACCGCAGTGAACTGAATATTTGATCTCTAACGGAAAAATTTCTTAAACGTAACTAGGACCACCATTTAGAACCGTAAAATTGTCAAAACCGTCAGCACTCTTTGTCCGTTTAAAGTGTTTGTTTTCTTTCTTTTTTTTTTTTTTTACCGGCAAAATTTTACACAATGCTTGCTGTTTCTTAGTATTCAGTCATTTTTATATTTTGTGTACTGTTTTGAGCCTCATCAAAGAGAGGACAGGTTCATTTCCATTATTTGCGCGGTGTCTTTTGTTATTGTTGTCCTTTTCTTTTTTTTCTCTTTTTTGGTGGGGCGACCGACGGACCGCCTACGCCCCTGTCCGGCAGCAGGGGAAGCGGGGCCGGGCGCACCCACGGAGGCCAGTCTTCTGTCATGAAGCTTCGCGAGAGGTTCGGAGCGATTTGCGAGCGGCGGGGCTCTCTACTCGAGGCCCTCGAGCGCGAGCTAGTCATCCCGGCGGCGTCGATAATAATCAGCACGGCGATCAAGGAGATAAGGAGGGCCGTCCAGCTATGCCAGTGAGTAGTGCTTTTGTGCAAAAAAAAAAAATTGGGCCGGATGGTCAAGAAATCATCGTTGTATAACCAACCCCACGTGTTCTTTATTAAAAAATTGTCAAACGTATTTTGCCGCTCTGCCTTCCTTAGTCGACCTATCACGCTTGTTCGGCATTGTTGTTGTAGCGGCAAAATGTTCCCCATACGGCGGCAAATTTCGCTGTAATCCTATGAATTGTTCAATTGTAGGCAAACCCGTGAATTTTGATCACTAATCAATGACCTGATTCGCGAGAAGCCTAGTTTATTGATTAGATATCGCAAAGTTTTTAGCGGCAAAATTGCAAGAGAATAAATAATGATAATACATTTTGGCCACATAGACATCTTAATACGATTGGGCCAATATTACCAGTCAAAATGCATTTTATTTCGTTTAATTAACATCTAGTAATTGGGAAACTGTAGCGGCAAAATTGCGCAATATTTTCCAGCTATGATACCAGCAATTTTAATGGGTCGTATTGAATCGATCGGCAAAAATGTCAAAGAGGTATTTCATTTCGGCAAACTCACCCCTGGTGATAGGGGTACTGGAGCGGCAAAATTGTCAAATCGCCAATTTATTTCCTGACATCTTGATGTGGGAGTATTGTAGCGGCAAAAATCTGAATATTTTGCTGCTATGATACTAGTGTAATCTTATGGATTGTGCTGAATTAACAACCAGTGGTGAGTGGGGGTTATTGTAGCGGCAAAATTGCATATTTTCCTACTATGATAATAGCCATTTTTAATGGATCGTACAGAATATCCATTGGCAAAGGCGAGATTTTATTTCCCCGAATTAACCTTTGTTGAAGGGTTATTAATGCGGCAAAATTGTCTAACAGCCAGTTTGTTTTGCTGCTGTGATATTACTTGATTGTTGTGGATCGTGATGAATATCCAGTGGCAAAATTGTAACTGTAAACTTACTATTTTGTTGAATTATCATATTTGTGAGGATATTTTAGAGGCGACATTGCATCATACTTGCTGATATGGTTCTAGTAGTGTATGGATCGTGTTGAATACCCTGCGGCAAAATTGTCAAACCCCAGTTTTATTTTTTCGATGATATTGAACTTCAGCAGCAAAATCGTCAAATTTTCAACACTAACAGAAATTAGCACCATATTTCGATGTTGTCCGATCGGTTTGAATTTTTCCAGCGGCGAAATTTCTCATTATTGTGCGGTTTTAACGCCTCCAAATCATCACAAATCCTGGGGTATTGTGACTTGAATATTTTTCAGCGGCGAAATTTTCACTATTCTTGGCCGCGTGTGTTTTGTATCCTTTCTTGTGGTTTATCTATTTTATTGTAATATTCATGACTCGTGTGTGTTTCTCTCAGCGGCAAAATTTCTCATTGTAATGTTGGTGATTGATATTGATTGTAGCGGCGAAATTTGTCAAAATCGCAGCTTACTTTGCCGTTTCTACACTGGCAATTGTATTTAATCGTTCTATTGAATTTTTTCCCAGCGGCAAAATCTTATAGTAATTTTGCTCTAGCCCAAAGGAAAATTGTTTTCTTTCTGCCTTTGGTGGCGAAGTGAAGAAAAAGAATGTACTTCCCTATTGATAATACATCTCCAGGAAGGCTTCCTCGTAGAATTATCAATGCTAATTGTTCATTGTCGGCCTTCTGACAATGGGAAAGAGCCGGAGGTATTTCGCCGCCTTGGAATATACACGCTTTCTCCGTTTAGACGCCGTTCACCCTATCCGGCCCAGAGGACCTAACCAAAAAGGGTCAAACCCTCGTCGGGTCGTTTTTCGTTTATAAATCGGCCTTTTATAACACTTTCGCCTACGTACGATCCGGGCGAAGGGCCCCGTTAGGTTTTCACCTCGGGCCTCGCTGCTCGCTGGCCACTTCCTTCTAGACCGTTTTCTTCTTCTGCCCTTTCTGGGCTTTCCGGAAGAGGTGGCCTGAATGTGAAAACTACCGAGCAGGGGTTGCGTCACCAGGTCCGAGGCGAGGCACCAAAGGACGCCCATGCAGTCCGAAAGGGGCGTGGGACGCGTTACGTACGGTGAAATTGTCCACATGGTTTTTTTTAAAGCCATAATTCTTTTCTAGACTTCTCGCCCAGACGAAGAGATAATCCATGTCTAATCCCCTGGAGGATTAACTATTAATGCACCAACCCTTGCTATAGATTTATTTTATTGCTATGCCCGGTCAAAGCCAAGGGTTACAGTGACGTCAGTAAGCTGATGTCTGTCTCACCTAGTTTGAGTTAATCCAGATCTTCAATCCCTGGAGGATTAACAAATCCACCAAACCAAGGACTACAGACTTGGATTATTGATCTACCCCCTGAAAACCAAGAGTTACAGTGATGTCAGTAAGCTGAGTTCTGACCTAGTTCGAGATAATCCAGATCATTAATGCCTGGAGGATTAACAAATCCACCAATCCAAGGACTACAGACTTGGATTATTGACCTACCCCCAGAAAACCAAGCGTTACAGGATGTCAGTAAACTGAGGAGGTCTGACCTAGTTCGAGATAATCCAGATCTTTAATCCCCTGAGGATTAACCGTAAATCCAAACCAAGGATTAAAGACTTAGATTATTGATCTACCCCCCGAAAACCAAGCGTTACAGTGATGTCTGAGAGCTGGGTCTTACCTAGTTTGAAATAATCTACATCTTTAATCCCCTGGAGGATTAACTGTAACTCTACCAAACCAAGGACCTCAGGCTTGAATTATTGATCTGCCGTACGAAAACCAAGACTTACAATGGCGTCAGTAACCTGAGGTCTACTTCAGAGAAGGAGATTATCCAGGTCTCTAACCTGCCGGAGGATTAACTGTAAATCTACCAAAACCTAGAATTACTGTCACCTCTTCATTCCTAGTTGAGCCTTAGAGTCTTTGACCAAGAGGAGTCTGTGACGCATGCAACATCCAACGTCCATTGACTGTGGATTCACTTAAGCCAAGAGATAATCCAGTTCTGCAATCCCAAGGATTAACTAGCCTAACCAAGGACTACAGACTTGGATTATTGCTCTTCCCCCCCAAAACCGAAAGTTACCTCAGTAAATATGAGGTCTCGCCTTGTTCGACATAATCCAGATCTTTATCCCCTGAAGGATTAACTGTAAAAAGTAAACCAAGGGGTAAACCAAATAACCTACTTTTCAGACTAAAAGCTCGTCTATAACTTTGTTGTATCAGAACGAAAACTAGTTTATATCCTTTCGTTAAGTCCATAATCTCACATTGCTTAAGTTCCTCTTATTTGTTATGGGCTTTACTACCTCCTTGATTATTCAGGTGAACCGTTTTCTCCCGAAGCGCACAATCTTCTCTCATCTTTTCACTTATTTTATTATTTAGTATTTTATCATTGACTTGTACTTCTGATTCAACAAAATCTGATAATCTGAAAGTCTAGCTTGCTTTCAAGAAAGCCTTGTTAACAAAGTCGGGCAAAGGGTCGACCACTCTGAACGAAACATCCACTTGGTCAGCCTCAGCTCGTAATTCCGATGGCATTCGAGCTAGGGCCGACACGAACCACTCTAATCCGTGTTTTTTATGTTGTCCGCAGGTGGTTTCACGGTCATCTTTCCGGCAAAGAGGCTGAGAAGCTTATACTTGAAAAGGGGAAAAACGGCAGCTTCCTAGTCCGAGAGTCGCAGAGCAAACCGGGCGACTATGTCCTCTCGGTCCGCACCGAGGACAGGGTCACGCACGTGATGATCAGATGTCAGGTGAGTGAGATGATCTCTAATCCAGCGTTGATCCCTACTGTTTTTCTCCTGTTCTTCTATGGACTAATGTAGTACGAAACAAGGACCCTCTCTCTACCAGGAGGGCCATGAGGTTTCGTATGAGACGATCTACCAAAACATAACAGACTATAACTTTAGACAGTCATGTGGTTCCTTAAGGGCACGTGAACCGCCAATACCCTAAATACCATATGGTCTTCCTAGGAATGTTGTACCACAAAACCATCACCCTAGAGTACCATGTGGGTCCTTAAGTCCTGGTGAACTTGCCCTCCTAGGGCTGCTGCCCAAACGACTGTAACTAAGGTAGTAGGACATATGGTCCCCTAAGGCCTATGTACCAAAGGCAGGTGACCTCAAAACCAAGGTCTGTAACGATGGAAGGCCATTGGGTTACTTAAGTGGAGGTGAAACCACTAATACACTAGAATGATGCAACCTGGTCCTCTAAGTCTGGTGAATTATGGGATGGACACTAGAGTGAAGGGTAATGGTGTACTATAAAACCAATGTCTGTTACCTTAGAGTGCCATGTGGTTCCTTAAGAACTGATGTACCACAAAACCGTTGATTTTTACATTAGAGCGCCATGTGGCCCTCCAAGATCTGATGGTGCCACTAAACCAAGGATGGACACTGGAATGCCATGCCGTTCCATATGTGCAGATGAACCACAAATACATTCCGATGTCTTTTAAGGACTGCTGTACTACTAAACTAAGGCTAGAGAGCCATACGGGTTCCATAAGTTCTGGTGAACCAAGGATGGTCACTAGAATGGCATATGGTAGACTAGTAGGTACCACAAAACCAATGATTGTTACCTTAGAGTCATGTTCCTTAAGCGATGGTAAACCACTCATAACTATAATGCCATGTGGTCCTGTGAAAACTGATGTACATTAAATCTTGTCCACCATTGGAAGGGTTCGTGACAACCTAGGACTAACCTTGTAGGCCATGTCCTTTAAAAGTGATATAAGACAAAACCAATGACTAACTTCTTTAAGAGTGGAGTGTACCACAAAAACAGTATGTCACGTGGTCTTCTGAGGACTGGTATACTACTACTATTATATTAGATGGCCATGTGGTTCCTTAAATGCTGGTGAACCACAAATACCGTGTGGTCTTTAGGGAGTGTGGTACCACAAAACCAAGGATTAATTCCGGAAAGCCATGTGGTTCCTTAAATGCTGGTGTATCACTAATACTCGGGAATACCGTTTGGTCCATTGAGGTCTTTTGTACCAGTACCGATTGACCATGATAGCTTGTGACCTTGGACGCTCGTCGAAAAGGATGACGGGTCACCTCACGCTGTTTAAAAAACCTTTATCTCAACCCGCGTCCGACCTGTTCCGACAATTTTCTCTAGATGGGAAAAGTTCTGGTACACCGTATAACCTAGGGCTGTAACCTTGTGTAACAATTTTGTACTAGGTTCCAACTCATTCCTTCTGACCTCAGACGTAAGGACATAAACCCAAACATCCTAATGTATCACTTTTACATTGAGCTTCCAGTGTTATTGGGTCTCTTAACTTTAGCCTTGGGGTCGTGGTGGTGTCCCAATGTTCCCCATAGAACTGGGTACTCGTCCTTTAACTTTGTCCATATTTAGCTTAGTCTTGGATCATCGGCTTGACGTTCGTTGCTCTCTTTTTCTCAGGACAACAAATACGACGTAGGGGGAGGCGAGAAGTTCCACAGCCTCAGTGAGCTGATCGAGCACTACAAGAAGAACCCGATGGTCGAGACTAGCGGTACGGTCGTCCACCTCCGGCAGCCTTTCAACGCGACCCGGATTAACGCGAGCGGGATCGATTCGCGCGTACGAGAACTCCAGGTAATTTGACTAAAACTGTCTGTACGAGGAAATGCTACAGTTTTTATTCGTAGAAGGAGAACTCGCAATGGTCTGGGAAAGCAGGCTTCTGGGAGGAGTTCGAGTCCCTCCAGCAGCAGGAGTGCAGGCACCTTTTCTCCAGGAAGGAGGGACAACGGCCCGAAAACAGGAACAAGAACCGATACAAAAACATTCTTCCATGTAAGTCGCATTGAATCATGTCTGGCCCAATGTACCAATTCCTCTTGTTTTCAGTCGATCATACAAGGGTGAAATTGAAAGATGCCGATCCGAACGAACCCGGTTCTGACTACATCAACGCCAATTATATCAAAGTAAGATTGATTTTCGTATCTTTCAAGGAAAAAAAATTAAATGTTATGAACTTAGGGAGACGATGACCCGAACGGCAGGGTGTACATAGCGACCCAGGGCTGCTTGCCGAACACTGTCGTCGACTTTTGGAAGATGATCTGGGAGCACAACACCCGCGTTATCGTCATGACGACCAAAGAGACCGAAAGGGGAAAGGTAACTTTTAAAGTTACTTTTATATTTTTTTATTTTACAATGTTAATGTTTGCAGAACAAATGCGCCCGGTATTGGCCGGATGAGGGCGAGTCTGTCGAATACGGCCGTGTCAAAGTCGACAGCGTGTCTACAGTCTCGACGACTGACTACACCCTGAGGGAGCTAAGCGTGACGGACGGCTCGGAGACGAGGACCGTCTACCACTACCACTTCCAAGGTTGGCCGGACCACGGCGTGCCCAACGACCCAGGATGCGTGCTCAACTTCGTCCACGACGTGAACCAGTGCCACGAAAGCACCGGCTACACGGGCCCGGTCGTAGTACACTGCAGCGCCGGCATCGGCCGTACTGGCACCTTCATCGTCATACACATCATACTCAACTACATCAACACCCATGGTAAGTAATTTTTTTTTCTTTTTTGTAAGGTAGGTTATATGTAAGATTTCAGACTGTAAAGTTTGATTATAAGTGATATTTTAGTATTTAGAAAAAAATAGGTTACAAGTTGGGATTAAGAAAAAAAGGCACTTCGTAAGTAATGATTTTAGTATTTAAAAAAAGTAGATTATGATTTAGGATTAAATTTTTTTAAAAGATGTAGGTTACGTGAGGATGAAGTTCTTTAAAAAGATAGGTTGTAAGTGAGGTTTCAGACTATAAAGTTAGGTTAGAAGTTAGGGTTATAGGTGAGATTTTAGTGTTTAAAAAGGTAGGTTATCAGTAAGGTTTCTCACTACAAAGTTAGGTTACGAGTTGTCATCCTGAGGTAGATTATAAGTGAGGTTTTAGTATTTAAAAAAAAGGTAGGTTATAAAAGTGAGGTTTCAGACTACAAAGTTAGGTTAAATTGAGGATTTAGTATTTAAAAAGGTAGATTATCAGTAAGGTTTCATACTATAAAGTTAGGTTAATAGTCAGGTGTCTCCTGAGGTAGATTGTAAGTGAGGTTTTAGTATTTAAAAAAAGGTAGGTTATAAGTTAGGATTAAGTAAAAAAAAAGTAGCTTATAAGTGAGGGCTGTTAAAAAAAAAAGGTAGGTTATAAGTGAGGTATTAGTTTTTGAAAAGGTAGGTTGTAAGTGAGATAGTAGGTTTTTGAAAACGTAAGGTTATATGTGAGGTTTCAGACTTTAAAGTTAGGTTATATGTGAGGTTTCAGACTTTAAAGTTAGGTTGTACGTGAGGTTTCAAAGTTAGGTTATAATTGAGGTAATAGGTTTTTGAAAACGTAATGTTATATGTGAGGTTTCAGACTTTAAAGTTAGGTTGTAAGTGAGGTTTCAAGCTATAAAGGTGCTTTATAAGTAAGGATTTAGTATTTAAAATAGTAGGTTGTAAGTTAGGATTAAGTTAAAACATTAGGTAGGTATTTATGTTTAAAGGTTATAAGTGAGGTTTCAGACATTAAGGTTAAGTTAAAAAGTAGATGATGAAATAGATTATCGACCTGCTGGATACAAGAAGTCTTTTCAGAGGATCTTCGGAAGAGGTCAAAACAGAGAAAACTTCCTTACGGTTTTCGCCGAGCTTTCGACAGTTTTATACTGTCATCTTCAGGGCCTGTTTTATTATCATTTATTATCATTTGTTTATATGATAATAAAACAGGCCCTGAAGATGACAGTATAAAACTGTTGAAAGCTCGGCGAAAACCGTAAGGAAGTTTTCTCTGTTTTGACCTCTTCCAAAGATCCTCTGAAAAGACTTCTTAAAAAGTAGATTTTACTATAGTTATTCTTTTTGTTTCCATTTTTAATTGTTTTAATTTTTTTCAGGTGTTGACTGTGAAATCGACATCCAGAGGACGATACAGATGGTGAGGGCGCAGAGATCGGGCATGGTACAGACGGAGGCTCAGTACAAGTTCGTCTATCTCGCCGTGCAGCACTACATCCAGACGCTTTCACAGCGTATCCTGGCTGAACAGGTAAGTCGTGTGTGTGTATACGTGCATGTGTGTGTGTGTGTGTGTGAGAGAGTGAGTGAGTAGAGAGAAAGATATGTATGTTTTTTGTTTTTGTTTTTGTTTTATTTTTGTTCTGTTCTTTTTTTTAGAAGTGCCTCCAGGCTGGACGTGAGTACAGCAATATCAAATACTGCAATGATTCGCCCACGATGCCTGTACCAGTGACGCGCAAGTCTCCCGTCGACCTGCCGAGGCCGCCAGAAGAGATTCCGAAGCAGATATACGAGAACATACCGGTGAAGGAGCGTAAGGCAAGCGGCCCGGTCCCACCACCAAGGCCGAGCAAGTAGCGCGTACAAGTTCACGGTGTATAGCGAGTTAGTACAAAAAAAATTGAACAAAAAACAGGCTTTTTTTAACTGTAATGTGATATCTGAAAATCTCTCGTTTTTTTTCCCTTCGTGTCTCGGTTTTTCGGTTCCCCCCCCCCAATGCCCTGCATCCGACGGGGCAGATCAAGGGAGAGAAAAAAGAAAAAAATTAATGTGATAAGATTAATATTAATATGCATTATTTAAATAAATGTTAAAAAAAATAAAAAATAATAAAAAAATATACTACACGATTTGTATCAAAGCGTATTAAAAAATATATATATATATTGTAGCATCTTGAAGAAGTAAAAATGCTTTATTTGTATTATTGTATATAAATATCTATATGTTAAAATATATTTCACAGAATATAATTTAAAAATAATATATTATATATTAAGTTTTTCTTTTGATTTTGTTGATTTTTTTATTTAAAAATATAAAAATGGGGAAAGAATATTAATTTTTTTTATACGACTGACTTAAATTTTAAGATTCTTCTTTTTGTTATTTGGTTTCTTTTTTTTATATAGTTTTTGTTAATTTCCCGCGCTTGCAAAAACAAATTTTTGATCAGTATTGGCCTAAATTCTATTGGTTTTTGTTTTTTGCATTGTATTGTTTAAAGGTGTGATGTAAAAAAGAAAATTGTTTTAAAAATAAAACTGTGATTTTTGAAATAAAGTGAAACTGCAAAATGAATTCAGCCGGTCTTTTGTTTGTTGTCTGCCCATGCCCTTTTACGCTGTGGCCTTTTTAAAAAGAAAAAAAAAAATTCCAGAATGATACATGCATATCTCCCCCCGTTCTACTGTTCAACAAAGTCCAAACCAGGATTTGGACGATTTTCTTTCCCCCCCCTTAATTCTACAATCCAAAATATCGGACGCTTATCTTCTCGTAAATAGGCCTGGTTTCGCCAAACAAAAAATTTGTAAGTTGAAATTTTCCTTTTTTTTTTTTTTTAAATTTTTATTTCTCTTTTCGTCTTTGATGCCCGGGTTGTCAAAGGAAAATACTGCTACTTACAGCTTCTTGTAAAGCTCTGAATATTTCTTATTATATCAGCAGAAGCCTGAAAATGGTCAAATGTCGATAGATCAATAAGAATTTTTACACTTTGAAATCTTTGTCTTCGATGCCTGGGTTGTCGAAGGAAAATAAGACTTATAATCAAAGCTTTGTTACCATAGAAGAAAAATCAGTCAAAAGCTGAATATTTCTTATATGAGCAGAAGCCTGAAAATGGTCAAATGTCGATAGATCGATAAGAATTTTTACACTTTGAAATCTTTGTCTTCGATGCCCAGGTTGTCGAAGGAAAATAAGACTTATAATCAAAGCTTTGTTACCGTAGAAGAAAAATCAGCCAAAAGCTCTGAATATTTCTTATTATATGAGCAGAAGCCTGAAAATGGTCAATAGATCGGTAAGAATTTTTGAATTTTGAAATACATTGACGTGCCAAACATGCTACCCAATTGATTTTTTCATTTTCTCGGTAAAAGAAAATTCATGCCTTAATTTTCTCATTGTTTTTATCAATAAATATTTGTTTATGCTGTTTTAAATTGGAAATTTCAATCAAGAATTAAAAACACTTAAATCCCTAATCCAAAAAAGGATAAAGGATTTTTCAATGTTTACTTTTTGCTGAATTTAAAATGTTTATTCAGTCTCATTTGAATTCGGAAGCAATAAACTGTTTAGTTTTCTTCTTTGTTTTCTTAATTTCAATTTTTAAAGATTATTCAGAGATTGTGAGATGTGGAGATCTGGTGTGATGTTGTTTTAGACAAACATTTTCTTTATCGTGCCGTTTCGAACTTTAAGTGGTCACTAAACACCACTCAATTTTTAAACTTAAAAATGCAACTTAGTACTGTAGATGTGGGCTTGTGTGGCACTTATTGATGATGGACGTTCCATCAGGTAAGCAGCTATTGCCAACGGAGTTACCTACGAAACTGCGAGATGTCATTAGATGTTTTCGAGAAACTGGTTCCTACCATAGAAGGCCTGATTCTGGACACTCTAGGGTAACAACCACAGGACCTTGAGAATTTTGCGAAACCAGCTACTATTGTTCATGATTCATCAGCTTCAGGAAGTTCGAGGTGTCCAAATTTCTGAATGCACTACTCCAAGAAGATTAAATGATTAAATCAGTATGTACTGATAGCTTTTCACCCCGTAATAGGACCATAAGAATGTACAAAACAAGTTATATTACAAGTGGGTGGGATTTTTTGCCTGTAAGCGAAATTGGCTTTGAATTCCGGGTTGTCAAAAAAAAAAATAAGACCTGTAATCAAAGATTTTAAATTGTAAAATAATAATAGAAGGTTAGTTTATTTTAATTTTTGTAATTTTTTTATTTTATTTTATTGCCATATGTTTTTGCCATGTGTGTGATTTTATTTCTTACAAAAAGTGGGAAAAAAGTTAAGTTTAAATGGCGAAGAAGGTAAATAAAAAGGAAGAGATACCCAACGAGGTACAATCTTTGTTTTTAAGTTTTTTTTTTTTTTCATATTTTATCTTGTCTCAGCTCAGGAGCATCCTGCTCCACATCATGCAAGACTGCGCTGAAAAACTTGAAGAGATCGAAGTGTGCTGCGAGGAGGAATTCCGGCTCGAAAGGTGCAAGGAGATCTTCCATCACATGGCTCTCATAGACGCCAAGTACAAGAAGAAGATGGAACAACGTCTCAAGATTGAAGCCATGTTTGTTTTTGTTTTTTCTCTTTGACGATTGGGTGATTTTTATTTATTTTTTTATTTTACTTTTTTTTCAGTGAGCACAGCAGGATGAAGAACATGGCGAGGCTGAAACTCCTGTCGAAGAAGGAAGAGTGTTTCTTAGAGGTGGTCAAGAGTGCAAAGGATTCGCTGAAAACTGGCCTGGACCCAAATTCGCATAACTACAAGACATTGTTAAAGAAACTTATACTACAAGGTTTATGTAAGGTGTGTGTGTGTGTGTGCGTGTGCGTGTGTGTGTGTGTTTATTTATTTATTTTTTTTTTTTTTAGCTTTGTGAAACTTCTGTCAAAATAAGATGCAGGGGTAAGGACAAACAGGCAGTGACCGATGTCATGAACCAGGCATGTGTCGAGTTCGAAGCGCTCTCCAAGATCAAGACAACGCTCAAGATTGACAAGAAAACATCGCTGCCCGACAACAGCTATGGTGGGGTCATAATGGTCACAGAGAACAACAAGATCATGCTCAACAACAGCCTCGGATGGAAGCTCGAAGACGTCGGGCGTAAGATGCTGCCCGAGATGTGCAAGACGCTCTACAACCCCGAACACGACGAGGAGGAATTGTACATGCAGTCTATGCCGTTGACTACAAAGAAAATATTCTACAGCGGGAAGCTGCATAAATAAATATATGACGAGAGAGAGAAAAAATACAATTTCTGTTTTGAACTTTTAATCGATTTTTTTTTCTTTTCCATTCTTCTCTTTTTCCCCTTTGGCTATAAATCTTCACCCTCTTAGACTGAAGACCGACAAGAATTACCTGAAAAAGCCATTGATGAGTCGTTGAAGGTACGACGTTCTCCGCCTGAAGACATAACCTTCTCCTTAGCATGCTAGGTTATAAGCGTAAGCCAAAAAGTTTGCATGTATAAGGCAAAACATCCTATTTTGCTATTATCCAAGAAAAATTGTTGGATGGATAATATTCACCATACTCCTGACGACATAACCTTCTCCTTAGATATAACCAACCATAAACCAAAAAAATTCTTGCGTTTATAAATCAATCAATTTCATACTATTTTGGTATGGTATAATATGTGCCTTTATGATGAACCTAGGCAAATTTAAACATCGGACGGAGATTATCCAGGAAAAAATGTGGTGATAAAAACCCCAGAGGTCATAAAGCACAACGGTCGTGTATGAAGGGTTCAGGCAAACGAAAACAGATTAATAAGACACAAAACAAAGTCCACGGATCAAAAAACATACCAGGATCTAAATAGAATGTATTACATAATGGCTTTATTACCTGGAACAAGATGAGGAGGCTGGTTTGTCAGATATAGATAACCGGGATCTTTGTAAAAAACGGCAGTTCAGTGTTTAAAAAACCTAATATCACTTATGGATTTAAAAACTGGTTAAAAAAAAAGTATGCTAAGGAATAATTTAACTTTCAGAAAGGCCGCAATACAAAGCGCTAAATATACTTTTAGCTCTAGAGCAGTATGGTAGTGCACAAAGGACAAGGTTATCTTGAGGTTAAAAGAAATGGCTTCCCACCTAGGGCATGAGAAAACAGGCTAAATATATTCTTAAATATATCAAAAAGTAATGTAAATGAATTTTCTATCTTAGAGGGAAAGAAATTAGGACAATTAGGCCCTGCTGTTTTAACCTTACGCTGTACAGGGAAAGTCGTATGGGTCAGTCGTATTTGTAAGGATTATAGAATTAGTTGTAGGAAAGTTTGGAGCGATGAGCACAATATCAACGCCTAAACCGTTGTGGCCGCCAACACCCCCTTGGAGTATTTACTTACCACCTTCCATCCGAAGAAAGATCAGATAATCTAAACATCAGGTATTAAGAAGGTAAAAGCTTAAAAAAAAGGAAGACGAAGGAGCTTTCAGGAAGAAAAGAACCTCTGACCGTCCGACCACTGCCTTCTTGATCTATCGAATACACATCGGCATTTATCCTTCATGAATGTGACTTACGGTAAAACGATTATTACGTGAGTGAAGTCGTACGGGATAGTCGTGTTCGTGCGGAATACACAATTAGTTGTAGAAAATTTTGGTGTCTTTCTTCCCCCCCCCCATGATCCTCTCTCTAATACATTTAAAAAGAAAAATCACCACGTATTAGGTTAAGAGCTTAAATCTGTCAAAAAAGTAACTTGAGAACTTTTAGGGAAAAAATTATAAGCCTATGAGTATCCGACCACTGCCTTCTTTTAGGGATGGTTAGAGATGGTTAGAGCCTTCTTGATCTACCTTCTACACATCGGTATATGTCCTTCATGAATGTGACTCACGGTAAGGTGATTATTACACTTAGGGATGGTCTAGGGTTTAGTCTGCCCAACAGTCACTCCCCTTGTCACATATAGTTCTAAAAACACTAGATAAAGAGACACAAATCAAAGTCGACAAAAAGTGATCTATAGGCCTTGCTGGGGTAAAGGGGTATCTATAGGGGTAAAGGGACTGAATCCCTATCAGAACCATTTAGATTGGTTCAAACTATCTTTTAATGCTGAGGTATGTCTTTTGGACAGCTTGGCTGTTAGAGCTTGAAGTTGCAGTTAGAGCTGGAAAACTGGCTTGAGAAAGTAAAACTTATGCACTGGATATAAGCACTAGCTAAGCTTCCCTTGCTACGATCTAAAGAAGATTGGCAAGCCAGAGAGGGACCTATATGGGTCAAAAGGTTTGGAATATTGAAACTATGAGTCAACCTCAAGTTTCACAAAGGCACTGTCGATCAAAAGACAAGGTGGTAGGCATCTATGAAGCATTGGGTCTGACAATAGCTTCAGCTGGGTTGATGGGAGGGGGGTGTTGGACGTGTTAGACCTGATAGAACCCAATGCTAGCTCAATATATAATCAGAGTGTACTTATTGCCTAATGGTCTTAATTTGACAAGATTACCTTGAGGAGTAAATTTACCTGGGTATACCTAATTGCCTTGGTTGGATGAGATTACCTTAAGGTAGTAAAGGAACAGACTGACATAGCAAGGAACAAGGCTTCTTTATGAGGCACTAGTCGTTAATTGAACCCCTCCCATTGTTAAAAAACTCACAGATATTACATGACAATCCAATCTTCAGCAGGGTCGATTTGTATCGGCTTTCTTTTTCTGCGGTCCTTCTGGTGCCCTGCAGTAGTCGAGTTACTGCTGAAGTGCGCCCACTCTTTCCTCAGGTGGAACAGCTGTGATTTGAGGTGTCTCAGCTCGTTCTCGACCCCGGCCGGTATGTCCGAAGGTGCCGCGGGGATCGTTGGCTTCTTCTGCCGTTTTTTAGCCATTCTGGCTTCCTCTGGCATCCGGTGGTCGTCTAGCTCCTGCTTGTGCATCATGAAGCACTGCCAGTTGTGAGGGGTTTCCGGCTCTGGCCTGAGGGTGCCGCAACGGTACAAAGACCGCTTGTCGTACGTCTTGGGCTTTGTGGACAGCTTTTGGGCCGCAATGCTCATGTGTCTTTCTTTTGGGCTGGCTGTACCGCTCTTTGTCTTTTCCTTGCAGGGTGAACCGCAGTCTCCTGAATTCGACCTCTTTCTCTTTCTCCTGAGATGTATTTCATTTTCTTCGAGACGCTCTTCGCTCTCCCCTTTTACTTCAGCAGCCATTTCCATTTTGGCTAGGATCTCTTCCTCGCTCGTTCTCTTCCAGAGGAGCTTTCGCCGGCTTTCCATGATGGCGGTCTTGGTGCTTTTGTGCTCGATGAAGCTGGGGCTGTTTTTAGAGCTGCACCTATTTTCGCTCCTGGTGGGGGAGCTTCTCTTCGACCCTCTTCCCTCCCTGATGCTGTCCCGAGAGCACTTCCTCTTCAAGCTCCTTGATTTGGACCTTTTGTCGGATGCTTTCTTAGACTTGGAAGGCTTCTCCGTTTCCGTTAAGTCAACGAGAGAGGACATGCTAATCGTCGCTTTCGCCCCTTCAGAAGGCGGCTTTTTATACTGTTCCCCTTCTTTTTCCGAATTCCTGCTTTTCTGATCTTCGTCCTCTACCTCGAGTATTTTTATGACGACTGGTGATTTGCCCCTTTCATTGAAGGGCAGTTTGCTTCCGACGGACGTGCTTCTCGTTCTATATTGCTTGTTGTTCAAGTTGGTTGCGGAAGTCTGGATCCCTTTGGCGTCGGTCTCGAGGGGATTGGTTTCGGTCTCTTTGTCCTTGAGCGACTGCCTGACCATCTTGGCCTCCTCCGTCTTTTGCTTTCTCGAGTCGTAGACGAAAGTAGAGGAGCTGTCGTTGGCGATGGCTTTCCTCAAGAACTTCTTTTTGCGCTCCCTGCCGGACCCATCGACTCGAGACATCGTAATGGGGTTCAGCGAGACGCCCTTCTTATGGGGCGAGGAGTATTCCTCCTGTTCTTTTTCTCTCTGTTCCCTCTTGAGAAAGTTCTTGAGGAGGAATGACGTATTCGTCTGGGACTCGCGGTCCGCCCTGAAAGGCGGGTTCTCCTCAGGGAAATGGTTCAGGTCCGATGGGGACTGTGGCCTTGAAGGGATCGGGCTGTCCGGCGCGGAAGAATCCGGCGTGCTCAGGTTGTAAATGTTCCTCGCGATCACACTGGGTGAATCGCCCCTCCTCCTCAAAGAATGGGATGACATGTGGTTCTCAGGCTTCAGTATGCTGTGCCGCCTTATCGGCCCCCTTTTTTTAGGCAGGTCGGACGTCGACGACGAGACCGTCCTATTGATGACCATCATGTTAGGGTTGTAAAGCCCGTTATAAACGACCGGCGGCCCTTTGAAGTGAGGGTACATCATGAACTGAGGATTAGGGGTCATGTCCTTGCCGAATATCCTGTCCGCGTCGTCCTGTGTGTACCCGTTCAGATGGACGAACCCCTGGTTGTAAGATTCGACGTAACTTTTTAACAAACCCGGGTTGTAAGGGTGCCCTATCGATTTGATGTACTCGCTCCTTCTCAGCTCTTCCGTGAAAGACGGGGAATAAGCCGGTTCATAGACTTTACCCGGTTCGTACGCTTTGGGCGGTGTCTTGGCCGGTTTCTTATGTGGTTTGTCGTAGGTTCTCCTCGCATTGGCAGGTTCTTTACTGTCGCGTGGCACGACAGCAGGTTGCTCCGGAAAAGGGTAGTAGGGCGGGAAGGCGTGTACTGGGTATGGGACGTCTTGCTCCATAGACCAGATGGTCCGATCGGGACTCCCCCTGAAGTTCGGTATGCCGTCCACCTCCGCTGGGGGTCTGTTGATTACCTTGTACATGTCCGAGCTGACCGTCCTAGGGCTGTGGATCTCGACGAAGGTCGGCGGGCTCGACGTGTAGAGGGTCTCCGAGATCCGAGCCCGGCCAGGGACCCCCTGCGGGAGGTAGTCGCACCTCTCGTACCGCACCACGTTGGGGAAACCGGGCGAAGGCTGGACGACGGGCCTATCGTTCCCAGATTCCCATTTCATTGTCGGCGACGCGGAGGATTGGAATTTTTCGGCGCCCTTTCCTCCGCTTCACCTCACCTCCTTGGCCCGGCGGCCCATTCTACAACACGATCAAAAGTCCAAACAGTCAAATTATTCGACAACAATTATTTATACATCTGGTAAACTTTCAATTTTCACATTTGTCAAAAGAATTCTCCTTAAAAAAATTTCCCTGTATTCTAAAATCAAAAATTTCTTCCTGCCATGTTTTTCTTATTGGTTAGGAATAAGACTCCGGGATGGAAAGATGAAGACACTTCCTGGACTTTTCAATAGTCAGCCATCCTCAAATATTCCTCTTTTGCCTACCCACTCCTTTTAACAGTAACGACAGTGTGCTCAGCATAGACCTCCTTAAAAATGTTCGCTTCTCTACCCTAACCAACCACAGTATCCAACCTAACAACAATGACATTGCCTTCAATTCTTACAATCATTTACAACGCTCTTCTCGCAGTGACCAAGAAAAATCCTTCTCATAGCCAATTTCTGGCAATGATAGATATTTTATCGAAACAACTAATTAACTAGCATACATAACCTTCCTCACCTGTGATACGTCTTTAGGTAATTACACTCGATGTTGTTTTCCGAAACCAATTTATAGACAGTCCTATATAACCTTCTTTACTGTTATCTCGAGATTAGGTTAATTCATACAATAAAAAATCAAATAGTTTTAATCCGTATTTTTTAACAAATAAATAGTCAGCCCGCCAAATTTCAGATTAGGTCAGCCCAGGTAAAACGAGAATCGATAGGTTTCGAACCGACCTTTTTACTAAAATATTTGTGGATAACCACTCCGGCGTACACTTCTTCACTGTTATCTTCAGATTAGGTTAGATCGTATTAAGTCAACACCGATAAGGTGAATCAATATTTTTTGGCAAACAAATCTATAGTCAGTCCTGCGCAGCCATCCTCACTGAGATTGTAAGTCTATAAAACAATCAATTCTGTACAATCTATATTTCTTACTAGGTTAGTGATTTGTAACTTCTTCACTGTTACCTTTCAATAAGGTTATGGCACATTAGGTCAACGATCGATCCTGTATAATCGATGTTTTTGATAAACAAATCGATAGTCAGTTCTGTACAACTATCTTTGATATTACTCACATTAGGTCAACAATCGATTCCGTATAATCGATATTTTTTGGTAAATAAATCGATAGTCAGTCCATCCTCCATTAGATTGCAGGTGTAGAAAAACAATCAATTCTGTATAATCGATATTTCTATTAGGTTAATGTTGTGTAACTTCTTCATATTATCTCACGGTAAGGTTAAGGTATATTAGGTCAACATTCGATTCGGTATAATTTTTTGTAAAGAAATAGATTGTCGATCCTGAATAACCTTCTTTGATTTTTTATTTTTAATATGGTAGTTGTTTATAACCTTCCTCACTGTTATCTTGAGATTAGTTAAAGTTACATTAAGCCACATGACATAATCGATATTTTCGTAAATATATGGATAGTGGGTTCTGTATAACTATCCAAAGGTTAACTTCAGTTAAGGTTGGTTCATGTAAATAAACAATCTATTCGGTATAATCGATATTTTCGTTAAGGAAATCTTTAGTCAGTCCTATATAACGTTCCAACTGTTATATTATGTTTAGGTTGTTTTATATAAAACAACAATCGATTCAGTATAATCGATATTTTTACTAGGTTGGTGATTTATAACCTCCCTTACAGCTAACTTCTGGCTGGGTTAGAGACCACATTAAATATTCGATTCCATATAATATAAATAATAAAATTTAAAAACCTGTCATCTCGTTTTTGAAAGGAAGTACAGCCTTGTATGTTATAGGTTAGAAATAGTTTCACGTTGTTATGTTGGCTGATCTGATTATAATAATCGAATCGATATCCAGTCAAACTAACCTACAAAATTTTACAGAAGGGTTCATGTAGACTTAGTCAAAAGAATGTTTATTATTATTTAGTATCTTTTTGTTAAATACAGTTATTTTGAAATAATCGTCAAAGGCAGGTCGTCTCGGTGTCTTCAGAAGATCGGAACGCGTTGCAGACGAAGTAGTGGCCGGTTCGGCAGTCCTCTGCAGACAGGCTCCGGTTGGCGGTCACCGTCGCACACCCAGTCCCTGAAATTCGAAAATGGAGGACTGGGGCTCCGGAGCCAAACCAGTGCCACCTTCCTTCCGAGGCAAGATCGCTCGCCGAACTCCAATACTCCAGGCTACCTCGGACATCTGAGAAAAAACAACCTTCAATGATTTTTTTTCAATAGCAGACATGAAATTACAATCGATTCGGTAAAATCGATATTTTGCAAAGGTTACAAATATATAACCTTCATAACTGTTATAGTGGGACAATTTAAATAAAGTAACAATCCATATTTGTACTAGGTTAGTCATTTATAGCCTTCTTCACTGTTATCCCAGTTTAGCTTAGTTCACTTGAAACATTAATCGATAGTTTTTTAATAAATAGCCTTCTTTACTGGTATAATACTTGTGGTCCAAGTCTACACACAATACACAACCGATCTTTTCCTAAACCAATGATAGTCAGTCTTGTCAACCTTGTTTTACTGTTACCTTAATCTTAGGTTAATTCGTGTAACAATCGATTCGGAATAATCAATATTTTGATTATTTTAAATTATATAACCTAGCTAAGCATAAATAATTATAGCCTTCGTTACTGTTGTCTTATCCAACAAGTTCACTTATGCAATGATCGATATTTTATCGAAACAAATCAACTACATAAGCTTCCCCATGTGTTGTACTTGTTTAGGTTATCCCACTAGGTCGATGTTTTTCTAAATCGATAGTCAGTCCTGTATAACCTTCCTTTCGTTAATTTTAGATTAGGTTAATTAATGAATCGATCGGTTCCAATTTATTTTAATCGATTAGGTCCGGCTACATTAAGTAACAGTCCGATTAAAAAATAATGATAATAATCAGCACTGAATAACCTTCATCGCTGTTATCTTCAGATTAGTTTAGACCGTTTGAAGTCAAAGATCCATTAAGAATAAGCGATATTCTTCTTGAACATATCGATAGTCGGTCATGTCTATTCAATCTTGATTATTTAAACCAATAATCGATTCAGATTTGGTTAGGCCATGTTAAATAAACAATCGATTCGGTACAATCGATAAATTTTGTTAAACAAATCGATAGTAAGTCCTGTATAACCTTCCAATTGTTATATTCAGTTTAGGTTGGTTTATATAAAACAACAATCGATTCGGTATAATCGATATTTTTATTAGGTTGGTGATTTATAACCTCTTTTATTGTTTCCTTCAGACTAGGTTAGAAAACTTAAAAAGCAATCGATTCCGTATAATCAATATTTTTGTTAAATATATCTATAGTCATTTTTTATAACCTTCCAAATGTTATCTTTAGTTTAGGTTGGTTTATATAAAACAACAATCGATTTTGTATAATCGATATTTTTCTAGGTTACTGGTTTATAACCTTTTTGACTGTTATTTTTAGGTTAGATTAGGCCAAGTAAAACAATATCGATCCTCGTGTGATCGGTATAACAAATTGTTACTATGTCCTGTATAATCTTAACTGTTATCGTCAGAATAGGTCAGTTCACGTAAAGAAAGAATTAGAAAGAATCTATAAAGTGAAATCGATATTATTCTTAATTGGGTAATTAGTACAGTATAACCTTTGCTGCTGTTATCCTAGCTTTAGTTGAGTCTAAGTAAATTATAAATCGATCGGGTGTAATCGATTTTCTGTATATAACCCTAATTACTGTTTTATTTTTTAAATTATAGTAATTGATAATCAGTTAATCTTTTTATGTAAGGTTTTGGTTGAAATGAAAAAGTTAGTGCCACGAGCGGGATTCCACCTCACGACCTTAGGCTAAATTGCTCTACCGCTTGTGCTATCGCCACGTCAGGTCAAATCCCGCTCGTGGCACTAACTTTTTCATTTCAACCAAAACCTTACATAAAAAGATTAATTAATTGAAAGAAATAATTTGGTCAATAGACCACTAAATATAATGGAGGTAATTGATAATATTGACTTAACTTTGTTTAGAGATGAAAAGAATTGTTTCATCTCGTCTTCCTTCCTGAACCAGAGGAGATCCATGCCAATGAGCCTGCAGTAGTCCATAGCTGTAAAGAAATCGGCCTTTTTTTTACAAAAAAAAAAAAAAAAAATCGTATCGTATGTTGTTCTACGGTTTACTTTTTTCAAGACTAGCACGTATCGCATGTCGTTTAAGGTCAAACTGCTGGGTAAGCGGCCATCCTCGACGTGGCACGTGTCCTGTCCCTCGGACGTCCCAGCTATGAATACCCAAAAGGTGATTTGACAATAAAACGCGAATCCGTTCAGAACTGATTTTATTCCTTTAACTCGTCGCGGCATTGTTTTCCTAGTGGGACAAAATCGGGTGGCGGGATTGGCGTGAAATCCGCAGTCAGTCATGGTACGTTGCGCCATCCTCTCGCTGGTCCTGATATGTAAGTGGTTTTTTTTTATATCATACAAACAAAATACGCTTTTGTACGGCAGTTTGACATCTCCCAGTAGAATGTCGTCGAGTTAAAAAGGCAGCATTCCCCTCGGCCCGTTTTCAACCTGCTGTACCGCACCGCTGCACCGTTTCCCGACCAAGTCCATCTGGAACCGTGCCCATGGCATCCGATCCAGAAATCCTCTGAAAATACAAAAAATCCCAAGCATATACAAAAAGTAACAAAAATAAAAGCCAACCTTTGTAGCACGCGAGGTCATCCTTGAGTCTGGTTTCATCCAACGGAGATGTTATCGACGCCAAGATCATACCGTTGTACCTGCAATAAAGGAACGCCTCGTACCAATTCCCCTGCAGTATTAAAACCTCATTAAAACAGAAACCTCCATTTAAAAAAACTAAAAACACAAACCTTAAAATAAGTCTGCAAATCGAATCTCCTAAGGCCGCACTGGCAGATTTTCTCCTCCGAGCCAACTTTGCACTCCTGGCTCTTCGTTCTTAACCCTAAAACCAAACAATAAACACAAAGGATCAACCCTTTCATTTTTCTCACTGTTCTTTTTTTTCTCTTGAACAGCCCAGCTGGCCGTGGCGAAGGAGAGCGCTCTCAACTCAATACTCAACGTGGACCCTTCCTCAATCGATCTGTCGAACAAGTAATTAACCGTGTCCAACCTCTTGAAAATACGGTTTATTTTACCTTCTTTTCACAGGACCATTATGGAACTGGTCACAGCGGTGATTGTTACACACAATGTTCCTGAACTCACCAGGAAGAATGGCAAAGGTAAACCGAAAATTGCTGTACTCCAGCTCACCAATTTTGTTGGGTTAGGGTGACGACACACACATTCGGAGAGGTTATACATATTTGAGGCCGTTTCGTGTTACTGAAACTTAATTTGTTACGGTGACGTCACTCACAATCGATGACGCACTGATCGGTTCATGCCGCCTCAACTGATTGAAACCATCTTCGTTTACGTTGACGTCACACAGATTTGGGGACGCGATTTTCAATGGCTACGTAACGGCTTCGCGTTGATTTGCTGGCCAATTCGCCTCCTTAACGATAAACGTGGAGGAAAGGGCTAAAAAGTGTTTTTTTATGTGTGTTTTTATTGAAGGTTCTAAAAGGAGGGATCGTCATCCGACGCCCAACGTCCACCCATCCAAACTAAAACTAAAGTATGTACGAAAGAGTTTCTTTATACATTCGTTACATCTGTTTAATGTATTTTTTTTCCTCCAGCAATGGCATGATGACAAGCTTTGGTTCGTCATTTTACACCTTTTTTAAAAGGCTATACATTCTAAATTTCACTGTATATTTTCCAGGTCTCAATTTCGGCGGAACGAATCATTCCAAAGAAGAACAAGAAGAACCAAGGTGAAAAGCATTGATTTTTTATTTATTTATTTAAAGGTATTTTATTTTCTGCAGGAGGAAATGCTTATGCAAAGATACATCACTGGAACAAAGTATTTTACACATACATAATTTATTTTGTTATTTTTCCGTGCGTGCTCGCTCATCCGTCAAATTCCATTTGTCCAGACTATGTCGGCGATGAGGGCAACGTCAATTACGGCCCAGGTGGTACAGGTGCCATACCCGACGGCTTCTGGTCTTACCGTAATTTTTCGCCGTTACCACAAGTATAATTATCATCTTTAATTTAATTTTTTTCCTGTTAATTTTAAATAAGGTCCAACGACGAGAAGCTGCAGCCAGAGGGCGCATAATGTAGCCCCCTTGCCGCCTAAAAGATTTCTATTCTTGAAAAATAAAGTAAGTACTGGCATTATACAGTCTGGATTTCCACAGTTAACCAATTTCATCGGACTATCGTGACGTCAAACTGTCAAAGTCAGTTATGACCTTTTTGAACATCCAAATTCAACCCTTTTTTTGTTACACTCGCGAGACATCACACAACTTCATTGAACTAACGTGACGTCACATAACCGCGGGGACTAGCGTGAAGTCAGATAATTATGTTAGACCTGCGTGACTTCACATAAATCCATGGATCAGAATGACGTCACACGAGTATAGATTATAAACTGTCCGAATTAGTTGAAACATGCTCTAACTTCCTTTTTTGTTAGACTACCGTGACGTAACATAACTTCATTCAACTAAGGTGACATCATCTCACTTGGAAGCTAGCACATACTCAGTGGATTATTGTGACGCACATAATCCCGTGGACTATGCGACTTTTTTGAAATTCGTAGGACTATCGCGATGACAGGTCATATGAAGGTTATACTAGTCCGAGTTGGTCGAAACCTGCTCTTACCACAAATTCAACCTTTTTTGTTAGACTAGCGTGACATCAAATAACTTCTTTGGGCTAGTGTGACGTTATAATACTTCTTTGGACTATCGTGACCTCACACGAGTCCGGGAGGGTTATGAACTATTTAAGGCAATTTTAATCGACTAATAACCCTTGTGCGTCCCTCCCAATTCGTTACGTTTCAATATATAATTTTGCGTATTGATCTTTTTCCCTCTTTGATTGTAGTTACCTTACACGATGGCCGACTCTTATTGTGATTCTTTGGGCTTGGAGCTGTACACAGCCTCCAGTCGGAAAGACGCGATCGACCGGTCTTTAACCCTTGGGGCTTATTTCAGTGGTAAAATGGCCCAAAAACGTCCGCCCTTCTCTTTTTATCCGTAATAAATTTTTTTTACAAAAGGTCGGAGTGGGGTGTTTTTGAATTTGGGCGTGGTACGGAGCGGAGGCAATTGGTACAGGTACACGACCGGCGAACCTGTGGAATTCATGCCTCCTGGCGACGGGCCGGCGGATTTTTCCAACCTTGCCATCCAAACCTGCCTCGCCCTCAGCATGGACAGTGAGGAATTGGTCGAGGTCGACTGCTACGGCGAATACTACTATTTATGCAGGCCGGCGAAGAAGGCCAGGACGCCGAAGATGTTCTGCTGAAAGGAGGTGAGAAGAAACCGGAAATCAGTCGACTTTTTTCTCAATAAAACACATTTTACCAACTACAATCGATATTTTATTTAAACAAATCAATATCAGTTCAATCAGTTCTGCATAACATCCTTTGCTATTATCTTCAGTTTTGGTTAATTAAAATACCAATCGATTTGGTATAATCGATATTTTTACTAGATTGGTGATTTATAGCCTTCCTCTCTGTTATCTTCAGATTAGGTTTAGGTCACATGAAATCGACAATCAATTGAAAATAATCGATTTTTTTGTAAACAAATCGATAATCAGGACCGCGCAACTTTCTTTGCTGTAACCTTCAGTTTTGTTATATTCATGTAAAATACAAACAGATTTTGTATAATCCATATACTAGGTTATTTATAATCTTCTTCACTGTTATCTTTAGGTTAAGTCTCATTAAGTCATCTATCGATCTGGTAAAATCGATCATTTTTACTTAACCTATTTATAATCTTCCTCACCGTTACACTAATTTAGGTTACGTCACGGGAAATTATCAATCGGTTGATAATAATCTTTTTTTAAACAAATCGATATTTTAAACCTCCTTTGCTGTAATCTTCAGTTAATTCACGTAAAATACCATTCGATTTGGTACAATCGATATTTCACCAGGTTAGTGATTATAGCCTGGCTGTTATCTTCAGTTTAGGTTGGTTTGTAGAAAACATCAATCGATTCGGTATAATCGAGATTTTTGGTAAACAAATCGATAGTCAGTCCTACATAACCTTCCAGCTGTTATCTTTAGTTTAGGGTGGTTTCTAGAAAACAACAATCGATTCAGTATAATCGATAGTTTTACTAGGTTGGTGATTTATAACCTCTCTTACAGTTAACTTCTGGCTAGGTTATACCACGTTAAATATTCGATTCCATATAATATAAATAATAAAATATATTAAAAAACCTCTGACAGGTAGTACAGCCTTGTATGTTATAGGTTAGAAATAGTTTCACGTTGTTATGTTGGCTGACCCGATTATAATAATCGAATCGATATCCAGACAAACTAACCTACAAAATTTTACAGAAGGGTTCATGTAGACTTGGTCAAAAGAATGTTTATTATTATCTAGTATCTTTTTATTAAATACAGTAATTTTGAAATAATCGCGTCAAAGGCAGGTCGTCTCGGTCTAGAAAACAACAATCGATGAGGTAAAATCTATATTTTTGGTAAACAAATAGAATCAGTATAATCGATATTTTTTGTACACAATTCGATAGTCAGTCCTGTATAACCTTCCAACTGTTATCTTAAGTTTAGGTTGGTTTATAGAAAACAACAATCGATTCGGTATAATCGATATTTTTACTGTGTTAGTGATTGATAACCTTCTTCACTGTTCTTTCTAGGTTAGGTTAGGCCAATCGATTTGGTATATTGATTATTTTTATAACAAATTGGTAATAAGCCCTGCAGAACCTTCTACACTCGCATAGTTCAATAACTTCGAGTATCGATTTTGGATAATCGATATTGTTGTAGTAAAATCGATAAGTCGTGTATTCTTCACTGTTATCTTTACTGTTGTTTTCATATTAGATTAAGCCACATTTTAAGCAAGTATCGATTTAGTATAATCGATTTTGTCCTAACAAAATCTATGATCATCAGTTTATAACCTTCTCTACAGTTATGTTCAGATTAGATTAGTTCGCGTGAAGCCAACAATCAATTAAGAGTAATCGATATTTTTTGGAAAGCATATCTATAGTTGGCCGTGCTTAACCTTCTTTATTGTTACCTTTAGGTTAGTTTATATAACCTCTAAATGAAATATCGATTAATTACAATCGATATTGTTCTAATAAAATCGAATCTGTCCTGCATAACCTTCCTCATTGTTATTTTCAGCTTAGGTTTGTTTGCTTGATGCAATAATCGATTAAGAATAATCGATGTTTCGTTGAAAATTGTATTAATATTGGTGGAAAAAATTATATTTTCTCACGTGTTCAGTGGTAAAGGGTTGTGAAAGAAAACTCACTCCTTCGACAGACAGTTTTTGTTTTAACACAAGATTTAATCTACATATATAATCTATATACAATCACATAGGAAAATAAATATATCCTTTTCATCATCATCATCATCATCATCATCTTATCGCCCTCTCCTGCTTTTCCAGACGGGCGGAGTTATTAAGACGAAAATAATATTTATTTAAAAAGAAGAAGAGAAAAAAAATCACTCACAAGCCCACAAATTTTTTTGGGGGGAAGGACACTTTTCCTTTTAATTTTAGACAAAAGAAAATTGTTTTTTGCATTATATGCTTTTTTTAATTTTGCCACTTTTTTAAAGCTACAATTTAACTTTTTTTGAGCGAGAATTATTGCATTTTTCTTTTTTTAATTTTTTCAAGATAAATTTCTAATTGTTTTTATTACACTATATAATTTTTTTTAAAGACATAAATATACATATATATATTTTTTTGTAATAATTTGTATGATACATATTTATTATGTGTATTTTGTGTCCTGTCTCTATTGTTTTAGGCACTCTTTTGATGTGTTTTTATTTATTTGTGTATTTTGTCGAGTTGTTTTTTGGCTATTGGACAGAAAACATTAAAAACAGGCGTACAAGGTTCAACTGTTAGAAAATAAGTTTAACAGGACACACTAAGGATGATGAGGCAGTTTTCTTGTCTATTTATATTTTTAAAAATTATTATTTACAACCTGTTGTGTTGGTGTGTTTTATGTATGTTATTGTACTTTTATTATTTTACTACTTGGCATCCATCCTGGCGCGGAGTTTGGCGTGAATCTGGAGGAACTCCGGCTCCTTGGGCGAGATGTCCTTTTCAGGTAGGTCTTTTTCGAGCTGTGGACGATTATTGGTTGATTTAATAAGTTCTTGGGTGTGGGACATGTTAAGTTTTAGGCACGGGGTCGGACTTACGATCTCGAGCCGTTTCGCCCTCTGCTCGATGACTCTCTCGAAAGGGGTCATGTTCTCCTGTTTGCTCGCCTCGACCTCACGCCTCGACTGGTTCTCCCTGTGCTTCTCCATTGCCTTTTGAAGCTCGGATTTCTGATTCAGCACGTTCCTTCCGCTACAGAATGGAAAAAATTTTCAGTCGAAATAGATAAAGTAGAAATAAATAAAACCTCACATTTTCTGGTTGAGCATTAGCTCGCGGTGCAGACGCTGCCTGTCCTGCGACTCGACGCAGGGGTTGTGAAGCCTTTTGGGGAGGATGAGGCCGTCGGGGGTCATCTGCACGGACCCACCCCCAACCGCCTTCACGCTCGTCATTTTACCCCGATCCTCAACTGAAAAAATGCACAAGAGATCGATTAAAACACAAATTTAAAGGCGTCCGACCCGGAGGACCATTTCTGACCAAAAAACAGAACACATTTAAGCTAAGGCATTAATTATATGAGAAATATAGGTAGTGATAACAAGGGAGACCAGGCTATGACAAGCAACCCCGGGTAAAGGTGATTTTCTGGCCATGGCATCAAAACCAACTGAAGCCCATGGACGTACAAGTTTTCCTTACCTTCCAAGACGTTTTATTCTGCCTAAACCTGCCCTTAAACATCCAAGAGAAAGCCGAATAAAAAAAGCGAGACCCTACGGACCAGACAACAACACCCGGGTAAAGCTGACATTCAGAGGAAAACGTCCCCGGCCGACCTTTAGGCAAAGTTCATTGCCCGGTGTAGTTGTTTGTTTGTCTTTTATATGCACCTGACCTTATCGAAGTTCACCCGTTGGCCGAAGCGAGACGGAACGGGCCACCGTGTAATTTTCTAATTTCCATAAATGCTACTGGACACCGTGACCCGATGACCTCTAAAGCCCCGTAGGTGTGTCATTTTTATTGCTTTTGTTTAACCACTTTCACCTTCTTTCTTTCATTCTTTGGATTTCGCCTGAGAAGAGGACAAAGGCCTTTGTTGTACCAAAAAAAGGAAAACCATTTCATCACTCAAGTCGGACGGAAATCGAGAGTGTTCTGGTGTAAATTGGAATACCTGGATATGCCAGACCTCTCCGGTCCGTTTGTTCTCGCTTTTTCTCATTTGAGAAAGGCTTAAGAAGTTTAAGGTCGTAGATTAAGTAACATCAATGGCAAGTTTAACTCCAACGACGAATAGATAACTGTGCCATGGGAAACATGGATATGTCAAAACTCTCCGGTCCGTTTGTTCTCACTTTTTATCATTTGAGAAAGCTCAAGAAGCTTTTGCTTTTGAAAATTGGCTTAACGTCAATGATAAGGTCGTACGCACACTATTCCTAAGCGTGTAGGAGGAAATACCGAGGGAGTTGGTAAACCTTTTTTATGTTCTCCTTTTTTGGTCGGCTTGTTCTTGCTTTTACTCATTTGAGAAAGGCTGAAGAAGTTTATGGTCGTACAAGATTAGGTGACATAATTGGCAAGTTTAACTCCAACGACGGATGGATAACTGTGCCATGGGAAACGTAGATATGCCAAACCTCTCCGGTCCGTTTGTTCTCGCTTTTTATCATTTGAGAAAAGCTATGGAAGCTTTAGATTTTAAAAATGTACTTGACATCAATGGCAAGGTTATACGGCACATTGTTGTTAAGCGTGTGGGAGGGAAAATTGAAGTAGTTGGTCAAACTGTCTTATGTTATTCTTTCCTGGTCCGCCTTTGCTCGCTTTTTACCGTTATGGCAAGCTTCATAAAGGTTGGGGTTGTAAAAAAATTAGGTCGAGTCAATGATAAGGTCATATGACACTCTGTTCCTAGGGGTTAGGATAGACGTAGCGCTTTGCCGTTTGGTACCTTCTTATGTCAGCCTTCTCCATCATCCTGGGCCCGATTTTAAAACCTTCAGGAGCATACATTCGAAACCGGAGCTCTGTCACGTACGCCTCGTCCCGTATATTTCCCCGAGCCACGGGCGGAAACACTTTCCCCCACGGGGCGGGTTGGCCAGGAAGCCCGGTTCTGGAGGGAAAGCGAGACTTTACGGACTGATATTGCCCAAAAACGGAACAGCCTTGAGACGATTATCAGTTTTATAAAAGATTGTTTGAACATAAAAGAGATAGGACTTTCTCCACCCTTGCACAACGACGTTGGAACCGGCTCCTCGAAGGCCCGTTCTTTAACGGCTCTCAGACGTCTCGATTTTTACCGTTAGAACTAAAGAAAGTGAAACATCAAACGTGTTTTACGAGAATTTGAAGGCCTTACAATCGTGATAACCTTTTGTCAGATTTTAGATTTTAGGGGGAAAAGCGATACGTCGACAAGCGACAGGTCGATGTATGCGTTCGGCTCTTTCAATTTCACGTCGTAGTGGGGAAGTCGATAATCCGTAAACCGGTTCGCGGACCCCAGATGAATGTCTGATCAGACCGAAGTATATAAAATAAGGCAAGAGAGGCCGCCGAGTCGAAAGAGGACGGCAATAGCCGAACGGATTGTATTTCGCATTGAGAACGTTCGCTCCGGCTCGCTTTTTCGTCTTAAGACTGGAGTAGAAAAGAAAAAGTCCGCGAGAGGAGCAAGGTTGGACATGTCGTGACCGTTTCTCCCCACGGCCTTGCACCCAGGGGTCATAGGTGTTTGCATTTTCTCCACTCCCAGAAGGCAGAAGAACGAAAAAACAAGTGAAAAGTCTCGAGAAGTTCGGATTTAAAAACAACCCAAAAAAAGCATTTTAAAAAACATACCGCCTTGGAAAATCCGTACTTTCTCTTTAACACTCCGACACTTTGGCTCGCCTATGTTGAAAGATGTCGTAGAAACGACATGATTGGATTTAAAAGGCAAAAATCCGTTTAACGTCGACTAATCGGATCCGGACTTTAAAATACCTGGGGGGGGGGGTGGAAGAAACATCACCCTCGAAAACAGTCTCGAGTCGCCCTTGGCTGGAGTTGCATGATATGCATAAAATATCTAACGTTTATGTAAAAAAATGACGTCCGGAAGGAAAGGAAAAACGGCCGGTAGTCCGTGTTGCATAATTGTCGTTCTTAAAATGCAAAAAATGGAAAAACTGTTACGTTGTTGAATCGGTGTGTTGGTTTTCAGAAAAGGATATCCAGAAAAATGGATCAGAGGTTATCCAACAATTGGAACCACCCAGGAAATGGGACAGGTTTCCGAGGGAAACTGGCAACGCATTGAGACTCTTGGATTGCTCTCCTTTCTTAAAAATTTCTCAGAAATGGAATTTTTTTGAAAATGGACAGACTTTCCACGGAAAACCAAAGGATAGCTTGAAACCCTCGGAATGCGGTCCTTCCTTTAAAAATTTCTTAGAAATGGATATATTTTTTCTCGGAAATCAAATGAAAACTAGAACTTCCTCAGTATCCCTCTTTCTTTCAATTTCTTGGAAATGGACAGACTTTCCATGAAAAATCAAAGGGTAACATGAATTCCTTGGAATCTCATCCTTTCGGACATATTTCTTAGAAAGGATATTTCAAAGAAAGAGGTATTTTTTCTGCGAAACCAAGTGCAAAGGAAGAAAATTCCCGGAATCTCGTTCCTTTCTTTAAATTTCTTGGACATGGACAGACTTTTTATGGGAACTCAAAGGATAACATAAATTCCTGGGACTCTCTTCCTTTTGGATATATTTCTTTGAAAAAATAATTCTAAAAAATGGAAGTCTTTTTCTGGGAAAACTAGATCTCGGAATGTCGTCCCTTTCTTTAAATTGCTGGGAAATGGAGAAACTTTCGATGGAAAATCAAAGGATAACGTGAATTTTCCTTGGAATCTCATCCTTTCGGACATATTTCTTAGAAAGGATATTTCAAAGAAATAGATATTTTTTCTGAGAAATCAGGTGAAAAGTAAGAAACTTTCCGGAATCTCGTTCCTTTCTTTAAATTTCTTGGGAATGGACAGACTTTTCATGGAAAACAAAGAATAACATGAATTCCTTGGAATCTCATCCTTTCGGTTATATTTCTTAGAAAGGATATTTAGAAGAAATAGTTATATTTTTCAATTTAATGTATTCAAAGATTTAGATATATTTTGGGCAAATAGACAAAAACTTAGATTTTTCGGAATCTCGTCCCATTCTTTAAATTGCATGGAAATGTAGAAACTTTCCATGCAAAACCAACGTATTGCATGCATTTCTTGGAATCTCTTCCTTTTGGACATATTTCTCAGAAAAGATATTTCTAATGACTGGATAGTTTTTCTGCAAAATCAGGTGGAAAGTAGGAAGGAAACCTCTCGGAATCTCGTCCCTTTCTTCAAATTTCCTGGAAATGGACAGACTTTTCATGGAAGACAAAGAATAACATGAATTCTTTGGAATCTCATCCTTTCGGTCATATTTCTTAGAAAGGATATTTCAAAGAAATAGATATATTTTTCAATTTAATGTATTCAAAGATTTAGATATATTTTGGGCAAACAGACAAAAACTTAGATCTTTCGGAATCTCGTCCCATTCTTTAAATTGCATGGAAATGTAGAAACTTTCCATGCAAAACCAACGTATTGCATGCATTTCTTGGAATCTCTTCCTTTTGGACATATTTCTAAGAAAGAATATTTTTAAAAAAAAGGTATTTTTCTGCAAAAGGTGAAAAATAAGAAAATTCTTGGAATCTCTTTTGCTTTCTTTAAATTTCTTGGAAATGGATAGACTTTTCATGGAAACTCAAAATTTAATTGATTGGACATGTTTCTCAGAAAATATATTTCTAATAACTGGATAGTTTTTCCTGAGAAATCAGGTGGAAACATGAATTTATCGGAATCTCGTCCCTTTCATAATATTAATTGAAAAAGGAGAGATTTACCTTGGAAAATCATCAAATGTTAATTTGAAATCACTGGATACCCTTGATTTCGTAAATATTTCTTAGAAAGTATATTTCTTAGAAATGGATATATTTTTCTGGGAAATCAGGTACAAACTGGAACATCTCGGAGTGCCGTCGATTTCATAGTAATTTCTTGCAAATGGTTACGTTATCTATGGAAAATCAAAGTTTAATTTGAAATCCTTGGATAGCCTTCCTTTCGTAAACATTTCTTAGAAAGGATATTTCTGGGAAATGATTTTTTTTTGAGGGGGCAGAATCAGGTACAACTAAGACTTCTAGGAATGTCGTCTTTTCATAATAATTTCTCGGAAATGTTTAGATTTTCCATGGCAGAATCAATGGATAACAGGTCCTCTACGAAATGCCTAAGAAATGATAATTTCTTGGAAAAGAATAGATTTTCCAAGGAAAAACAAAGGTTAATTTAAACTCCTAGGATAGCCTTCCTTTCGTAAACATTTCTTAGAAAGGATATTTCTAGGAAATGGATTTTTTGGGAGGGGAAATTAGGTGCAAACTAGGACTTCTAGGAATGTCGTCCTTTTCATAATAATTTCTTGCTAATGGTTAGATTTTCCATGGAAAATCAAAGGTGAATATGAACTCTATGAAATGCCATCGTTTCAAAAAATTTCTTAGAAAGGATATTTCTAGGCAATGGATCTTTTTAGGAGGGGGACACAGGCACAAACTAGTACTTTTAGGAATGTCGTCCTTTTCACCATAAATCAATGCATAACAGGAACTCTATTTAATGCCATCGTCTCGTAAACATTTCTTATATTTTTTCCCAGGTAAAGGTTATATTTTTCTAGGAAATTAGATAAAACTAGTACTTCTCGGAATCTTGACTTTTCTGAAACCATTTTTCGGAAATCGACACTTTCCACGGAAAATGAAAGGGTATCTGTAAACCTTTGGAATTTCTTCCAAAAGGGCGAAAATTTATTAGAAAAATGGTTGTCTGAGTAAGCCGTAAGAGTAAGCCTTATAGCCTGAAGTTTGCTGTTCTATTTTAATATCTTGGACTTTCGACCGAAAACTACGAGAAGAAGGTACGGAATTCTGGGGAAATCAGGTAAAAACCTGAAACCCTCGACCCTTTTGTCGTCGCCCCTTTACGACCATGGGTACGGGTGGGTATTTTCTGAAGGAAATCGAGTCCTTTTTTTTCAGGACTTTCGTATGGGCATCTACTAACTGTTAAAAAGAAAACTCTTCAGTTCTTTCATGTTGGACTTTTTGTCTCCCCATTTTGCGGATTCGTCTCACTTTCCTTCCGAGGATCTCCTTTCCCAGGGGGTCGCGTTAAATGGGACACATTTGCCCTGGACCCTCATCGCCTCTGGCATTCTAGTCTCAAATGAAAAATACAAAAAAAGACCAAATTGAATCCAATTAATCGATGCGGGCTTTTCTCCCCGGGTCGGCACGTGTCGCCGTGACGTCGGGGCGTAACATCTGTTCCCACTTCCCAGATAAATAAATCAAGATCCTGTTTATCCTTGGATTTCGTCATACGCGGATCTATCTTCGGTCGAGAAGAAGGGAAAAGAACGGGTAAACAACCCCGCCCCGGGCTGTGAGGATGCTCGAATCGTGCCCGATTCCCAACAGGCCAAGGATCTCCTTGTTTTCCTTTTTTTTCCATTTCGACAAAAGGCGATCCTCACGACTTCACCCTCGGCTGTAATAACCCTGTAATGACACGATGACCGTCTGGACGGGTAAAAATAGAAGTTACACCACGCAACGCTTTCAAAATAGCCCAGAACGACAAAGGATTCTTAAAAAAAAAATCTTCAACAAACCTAACGAAATATACTTTCTAAGAATGGTTAAGAAAAGAATGCATACCAAATAGTGTTAGTTTAAAGCCCATTTAAAAAAAAAAAAAAAGGCATCCATTTCCTAGGAAAATCTTTTCTAAGAAGTATTCACGAAAGGAGGGCCGTCCAAGGATTTTAAATTAAACTTTGTTTTCCAAGAAAATCTAACCATTTCCAAGAAATTACTAAGAAAACAACAGCACTCGGAGATGTTCCAGTTTTAACCGATTTCCCAGAAAAATGTACCCAATTCTAAGAAATATTCTTTGTAAGAAATATTTACGAAAGGCTTTCCAAGGATTTCAAAAGTAGCCTTTGATTTTCTATGGAAACTGTCCATTTTCCAGAAATTGTTCAAAAAATCCCAAGAAGTTCGAGATTATCCAATTTCCCAGAAAAATATAACCATTACCTAGAAATATCTTTTCTAAGAAATATATCCAAAAGGATGATATTCCAAGGAATTCATGTTGTTGAAAGGAACGAGATTCCGAGAAGTTTCTTACTTTTTACCTGATTTTGCAGAAAAGATTTTCCATGGAAAGTGTCGATTTCCGAGAAATGGTTTTAGAAAAGTCAAAATTCCGAGAAGTTCTAGTTTTACATAATTTCCTAAAAAAAATATAGCCACTACCTAGAAAAAAATGGATGGCATTTCATAGAGGTCCTATTATCCATTGATTTTGCCATTGAATATCTAAACATTTCCAAGAAATTATTATAAAAAGGACGACATTCCTAGAAGTCATAGTTTGTACCTGATTCTACCCCCTTCCCCACAAAAAAAAATCATTTCCTAGAAATATCCTTTCTACGAAATGCCTAAGAAACGATGGCATTTCATAGAGGTCTTGTTATCCATTGATTTTGCCATGGAAAATCTAAACAAAGAAATTATTATAAAAAGGACAACATTCCTAGAAATCCTAGTTTGCACCTAATTTCCCCTCCTAAAAAATCCATTTTCTAGAAATATCCTTTCTAAGAAATGTTTAAGAAACGATGGCATTTCATAGAGGTCCTGTTATCCATTGATTTTGCCATGGAAAATCTTAAACATTTCCAAGAAATTATGAAAAGACTACATTCCTAGAAGTCATAGTTTGTACCTGATATCCCGGAAAATATATCTATTTCCTAGAAATATACTTTCTAAGAATTATATGCGAAAGGTTGTCATACCAAGGATTTCAATTTATCCATTGATTTGGTCATGGAAAATTTCCAAGAATGGTAAAGAAAACGGGATTTCGAGACGTTCTGCTTTTCACCCGTTTTCCCAGGATCCAGGAAATATCCATTTCATAGAAAAAAAAATCCTTTCTAAGAAAAGACGGCATTTCCACGGAGTTCCAGTTTTGGCTTCTTTATGAGAAAAATCCAACCATTTCCTGAATGTAAACTTGGACAACTTGGTGAATTTAACAGAACCAAAATCATGCCCCCCCCCTTGAAAAATCCAATTATTTCATAGAAATTGGCAGATACTTCAAGGCCCTGTCCTGGTCCTTTCGCAAATATTTGTTAGAAATTATCTTTCTTAGCAATGGATATTTTTTCCATGGATAATCAATGGATAAGTTTGTTTCTGAATGAGTTTATCGAACGATTCGGGCCGGCTTCTCCTTGGGCCATTTGAGGACAGAACCGTTTAAGGAGAAAAAGCTCTTATGAGTAGGACGTCAGTCTATAGAAAAGGAGCTCACCTTCGGCTTCGGCGGAGTCGTCGTTGACCTCTTCTTCCTGCGAACAGAGAGGGAAAATATGAAAAAAAATTGGAAAACTGTCGTTTTTAAAGAGAGGGGGGTCCGCTTTTCCTCGCGCTTTCCCGAAAAAAAAAAGACGGCCATGCCTGTAGCGAATTGGATTGTGTCGCGAACAATCCGGGACACTCTGATGGCCTTTTTCTTTCTTTTCTTTTATTTTTTTTATTCGTGTGTGTTTGGTTTTGTCCGGACAAAATGGAAACGATCCTCGGCCGGAAATTGGGAGCCGGTTTCGTTACAAATTTGTACAAAGGCCGGTGTCGCCCTTCTGGAAATGGGAATCCTAAAGAGGTTTACACCGCCGGAAACACGGAAAATGGATCGGTGTGCGGTAGGAAAACACTTTTTACGAATCGAGTAAGATTCGAGTAAACAGAAATGAAGATAAAAGTGAAAATGTTGACTAAAATGGACGCTAAAGACAAAATGGGGTCCTATTTGTCGACTTGAGTTGGCAAAATGGCGGACTTTTGTGGACGATTTAAGTTGACAAAAAACGGCTGACAAGATGAACTTTTTGTGGACGATTTAATTTCGTTTAAAAAAGGTTGACTTTAAAAGTCCTTTTGTAGACGAAAAAGCTGACTTGGCAACCATTTTGTGGACGTCTTAAGTTAACAATATCGCCCTCTTTAGACGACATTTTATAGGCTTAAGTGGACAAAATGGTGGATATTAAAAAATCTGAATGGACAAAATGGCTAACCCGAGAAGAACATTTTTTGGACGACTTAACTTGACAAAAAAAAAGGCTAATTTGTGGAGAAACTTTTGTGGGCGACTTAAGTAGGCACAATTGATTGCATAGACGAGCCTTTTGTAGACGACTTAAGTTGACAAAATTGCCCACTTCAGGCGAAATTTTGTAGAATTAAGTGAACAAAATGCTGGATATTAAAAAACTTGAATGGACAAAATCGCTAACCCGAGAAGAACATTTTTTGGACGACTTAACTTGACAAAAAAAGGGCTAATTTGTGGAGAAACTTTTGTGGACGACTTAGGCTAGCAATATTGCCCTCTTTAGACGACATTTTATAGGCTTAAGTGGACAAAATGGTGGATATTAAAAAACCTGAATGGACAAAATGGCTGACATGAGAAGAACGTTTTTTGGACGACTTAACAAAAAAAGAGCTAACTTGAGGAGAAACTTTTGTGGACAACTTAAGTAGGCACAATTGATTGCATAGATGAACCTTATGTGGACGAAAGTTGACAAAATTGCCCACTTCAGGCGAAATTTTGTAGAATGAAGTGAACAAAATGATGGATATTAAAAAACTTGAATGGACAAAATGACTAACCCGAGAAGAACATTTTTTGGACGACTTAACTTGACAAAAAAAAAGGCTAATTTGTGGAGAAACTTTTGTGGGCGACTTAAGTAGGCACAATTGATTGCATAGACGAGCCTTTTGTAGACGACTTAAGTTGACAAAATTGCCCACTTCAGGCGAAATTTTGTAGAATTAAGTGAACAAAATGCTGGATATTAAAAAACTTGAATGGACAAAATCGCTAACCCGAGAAGAACATTTTTTGGACGACTTAACTTGACAAAAAAAGGGCTAATTTGTGGAGAAACTTTTGTGGACGACTTAGGCTAGCAATATTGCCCTCTTTAGACGACATTTTATAGGCTTAAGTGGACAAAATGGTGGATATTAAAAAACCTGAATGGACAAAATGGCTGACATGAGAAGAACGTTTTTTGGACGACTTAATTTCATTTAAAAAAGGTTGACTTTAAAAGTCCTTTTGTAGACGAAAAAGCTGACTTGGCAACCATTTTGTGGACGTCTTAAGTTAACAATATCGCCCTCTTTAGACGACATTTTATAGGCTTAAGTGGACAAAATGGTGGATATTAAAAAATCTGAATGGACAAAATGGCTGACATGAGAAGAACATTTTTTGGACGACTTAACTTGACAAAAAAAGGCTGACTGTGAACCTACTGTAGACGATTTAAGTAGGCCAAAACCTGACTTAAGATGATAAAAATAATTCTTAAGACGAACTATTGTAAAATTAAGTTGACCAAAACAAATGTTTAAGAAGGACTGTTGTAAATTTGAGTTGACCAAAATCAATTTATACTCAAATGGAGCTGTTGTAAACTAGTTTTGACAATATGGCCGACATGAGACAAACTATTTGTTAATTTAAGCTGACAAAAAGTCTAGAAATATTTCCTCAAACCTCTTGTAAGCCAATCTAGTTGTGTCTTTAATAAATGTCTGATGTAATCTCGAGTAGGGGAAAATAACAAAACAATTTATTCTTGAAAATTCCGTCAACAGTTTCACAACGCCTCAGGCGTAATTTTTATTTTTTCTTTATTTTTAAATAGTGTGGAAATTTTTGTTTGTAAATGTTTTAGTTAATATGTGACAAAATAAGATAAGACCTTCCTGTAGGCCCCTTCCATCTTATCCTGTTTATCTCTGAAGATGGTTAAGAGTTGGTATTTTTCTGACTTTTGTAAAAATATTTCTACAATTTTAAGCCTTTCGAGCGCAATCGTAAAGATCCTCGTTTTTGAATGTTGCCCTCTGATAAAAAGGGACGGCGAGTGGGAACGGCCTGTTTAAACAAGGATACCAGTCCTTATCTCACGGCGGAGAGGGGCGTTGGGATAATTTAAAATATACAATTTAATTGTTTTTAAGTGTAGACGTGATAAAATGGGCTGGTAGCGAAACAGCGAGGATGGGCGGACCCAAGGGGAATAAGGTCAATTGCACAATCGACAACAGTTAGGGTCCGGTTAGCACCGTTGCGTAATAATTGAGCTTTAAAGCGAACGCTCGGATGGTTTAAGGTGAAAGCTTTTTTTGTGGACAATATAGGCAGAAGTATTTCGCTGTGTCGCAAAGGTTTTGAGAAAACGCGCGCGCGACTTTTCTCATGCATCCATGAAAAAATTTATTATTTATGAAGAGAAAATTAGGAAAAATAATTGGGGGGAAACTGCCTTATCCACGGGCCGCTTTAGTCTATCCGACGGTTATAAACTTATGAGGTGTATAAACCTGTTTGTTGGCTGTTTCTTATTTTATGTTCTTCTCGTTTCTTTTAATGGGTACTTTCATATTTGGCCTTTAGCCGATCCGGTCCCGACGTTTTGAACCCTGGAAACGTCGATCCGGGGATCGTCGCGATATGCCATTCCTGACCCTCCCGTGTTAGTATAAGAAAAATAAGACCGCGATCAGAAGTCCGGAAGGCGCCGGACTTATCGACCTCTGAAAAAAATCGATTTCCCCGTCCGCGCCAATGATTTTAAAAGAAAGACAAGCTGTTTTCACTCAGAATACTAAAATCTTTTTATTCATTTTCAACTAATATTTTCTTACTAAACTCGACAAATAAACTAATAATAAAAATCTTCCTTACTAAAATCAACAACTCTTCTACTATTAGTCTTTACTCATTAGTCATAATGTTCTTACTAAACACAACAAATAATCTTACATTAGTGTTTTCTTACTAAACTCAACAAATATCTAGTATATTCTCTACTAATTTATAATGTCCTTAACAAACTCAACAAATAATCTACCTTCAGTTTCTTCATTACTAGCCCATAACGTCCTTATAACTCAACAAATAATCTACTATGAGTGACTTCCATATTAAATATCCTTACTAATTTTTATTACCCTTAATGTTCTTACTAAGCTCAACAAATAATCTATTACCAGTCATTACTATCCCATAATTTCCTTACTAAATATGACAAACAATCTAATATTAGAGTCTTCATGACTAAAAAACCCTTACTAAACCACAATATTGGTTTAATAAGGACTAATGGTACATCATTTAATCTACTATTAATCCTTACTAACCCATAATTTCTTTATTGCACTATCAGAATCTTCTTTACTAAACATCCTTATTAACCCATAATATCCTTACTAAACTCCACAAATAATTTTTACTAACCGGTAATCCTTAGTCAATGCTACAATTAATATACTGATAGTAAAACTCAAAAAATATTCTATTGTTCATTTCTTCATTACTAAATAACATTACTAACTCACAATATTCTTACTAAATCTACAAATAATTTCCTACTAGTGGCTTTCTGACTAAACATCCTTACTAATGATTTATGTCATGATTATTATATGATTATTAATGTCCTTACTAACCTTAACAAATATCCTATTAATAGGTATTACTACTCAATAATTTCCTTACTAAACTCGACAAATTATTACAATTAGTCTCTTCAATGCTAAACATCCTTACTAAACGCAACAATTCATTTTTATTATAAACATCCTTAGTAATCTATTTTTTTTACTAAACTCAAAATAATAAGCTTCTATTAGGGATTTGCTTATCCTTACTAATCCCGTAAAACTAAACTAAATAAATGAAGTACTATTAGCGCCTACCTTACTAAACATCCTTACTAATCAGCAATGTCCTTACTAACAAAATTTGCTCACCTAACCCAATGTCTAATTGACTAATAATCATAATATGGAAAAGTGAGTATAATACTTTTGCTTATTTGCAACTAATTTTTCTCGACTAAACATACTTCTGGTTACTAATTTCCTAACTAAACAAAAAATCAACTTTACATAAATCCTGCCTATTAATTTTTTATTTGTTTATTTCTTACTGGGCACTTCGGATCCTTACTTAAAAAAAATTCTCCTGACAGAACCCAATAATTGGCCCATGGTTAATAATAATGAGTTCTATATTCCTTATTTGACACTGAGTTTTTTGGTCCTCCGGGTCGGATATTTTTTTATTTTCGGATATTTTCGGCTGGCCAAGCCTCAAAGGGTGTCATAACGAGTTCGACCGCCTCCCGGTGTTGAAAGTGAATCTTCCGACCCTCGACTGAGTTTTCCCGGCTGAACTGAACCGTGGGAAAACGAGCGTGGAAAGTGATGCAACGTTCGATAATAATTATAATTGAAGTTACCGAACCGTTTCGTAATT